AAGGAAAAGGCAACTATTTTAAAATAAGTAACTAAAGGAGGAGAAAAAGAGCTGGAGAAAGATTACAAAACTTGGGTTTTCTGGCTTCTCAGTACATTTGAATTTAGTGTGGAGTTTTAGCCTTGATGGTTTAACACCTCACTCCAGGTATGCAGCAGTTTAGAGTTCTCTTTCAAGCAGGAAGAAAAACATTTTAAAGCTATTAAACCAAATGAGGGGAAAATACTAGTATAACCTTTTACTACCACTCACGAATGCCTAGTGGGTTGATCTAATATGCAATTAAATATGTTCCATTTAGCAGATGAAAGCCATCATCTTGCAAGAGGCTATAATTATATTGGCTGTATTTACCAATAAGTATTTTTTGTTGGGTAATCTTTTCTGTCTATCCATCTCTAAATGGAGCTGAGCTGATAACAGTAAATACTTTGATGAATGTCACCTTCTTACTCTTTTGGTGAGTTTTTTGGGCAGACCATTTGATTCTTTCAGTTTATCAGCAAAGCAAAATTAGGTTTCTTGTAGCAATTAACTCAAATTTTGAGCTCACCTACGTGTGGTAACTTCAGAAAGAGTTCATTTAGCCTGTGAGTTACATGTGGAATGTGGTGAAATGGGTGGATTATAGGAGTGGAGGAGAAACCCGTTTGGATAATGTGAACCTAACTTGTCCTCATTTCCCAAACCAATATGCAAATAGCAAAACAAGTAGCTTTGGAAATTTGCACTTCTCAAAATTTTGTGGTACAGTTCTCTAACCAAAGCTGTGCACAAAAAAGCACACAATTGAAAAAGAGTGCGCACAAAAATATGTATGCGAGTGAAAATAATATACCACCTTGGCGCCCAGCAGTGCCAAGGCTTTGGCCATCTTTCAGCTTCCACTGACCCTTGTGCAACTCTTCCTCCTCTCTGGTTGAGGCAGGAAGTTCAAGTTGGTATGCATCGCCATCCCCCTATTTTATCTTCACAACAACTCTGGTAAATGGTAAATCTGTAGATGCTGGGTTCTCTCGGGATCTCATTTTCCCACTCTTAAGTTCAAATTGCCCCATTTCTGCATTGGTTTGTGAATACTTATAAAAAGTCCAAGAGGAAATTCATATGTGTGTACAAGCAACTTTCTGCTAATATACACATTTATGTATGAGATTTTGCCTAAAATATGTACATTTTATATTTACATTGTTTTTGTATATTATTTTCACTCACATAGAGCCTGTGTGGCGTAGTGGTTAAAAGCGATACACTCGTAATCTGGGGAACCAGGTTCGATTCCCTGCTCCTCCACGTGCAGCTGCTGGGTGACCTTGGGTCAGTCACACTTGTCTGAGTCTCTCAGCCCCACTCACCTCACAGCTTGTTGTGGGGGAGGAAAGGAAAGGAGAATTGTGAGCCGCTTTGAGACTCCTTCAGGTAGTGATAAAGCGGGATATCAAATCCAGAACTCCAAAACTCATACACATTTTTGTGCACACTCTTTTTCAAATGTGTGCTTTTTGTGCCGTTCCAGGTTTTTTTGCAGGCATTATCTTCTGCACACCCACATTTTTTGCAGGGCACAGAGTAGAGGCCCATCCACAAGTGAAGCCAAGTATAGGGATATCTCAACTGCTTCCAAATCTTGTGCAGCACCGTGGATTTCAGGTTTAGATTGCTCCGTAAGCTTTTAAATTCCTCCCCGCCTTGCAGTATTTAATAATAGAATAAAACCCAGCCATCCTTTATCATCTTTAGTTTTTCATTTATATTGTTTTGGAACCATTTCTTCTCCGAATGCTGAGCACACATCTTTAAAGTGAATTAAGCCAGAATCTGCTGTATAACTGTCTTCCCCACAGCAATTTCCCAAACATAAAATGTAGAGTTGGCGGCAAAATTTCTATTGACCTGAAAGGGACTGGATGATACCTGTCTTGTTATGGCTTAAAACATATATAATTGTCATCAGCAAACTCCTTTCTGCTAAGGGATAGAACTGCTGCGATGGCGAAGAATAATCATTAACATTTGGACTGTTCGTAAGCATGGTCAATCATATAATAATGACAATTGCTGTAGATTCTGTAGTGAAAGATGAGACTTGATATGATGGAGTGAGGATCGCAAAGAGCCTAGGATGGGGTAGCCAAAGTAGCCTCCAGATGTTCAGGGAAGACTTTGGTTTTTCGAATTTGGCCCTGTGCAAGGCCAAAATTCAGCACCTCCCCCTCCCTTCTGCCTCTTGCCTTGTGTTCTGCTCAAGGTAAAGGTAAAAAGGTAAAGGTAAAGGAGGTTAAGTCAACTATGTGGTTGTGGCGCTCATCTCACTTTCAGGCTGAGGGAGCCAGCATTTGTCCGCAGACATCTTTCCAGGTCATGTGGCCAACAGGACTAAACTGCTTCTAGTGCAACAGGATACCATGACAGAAGCCAGAGTGCACAGAAATGCCGTTTACCTTCCCGCCAGAGCGGTACCTATTTATCTACTTGCACTTTGATGTGTTTTTGAACTGCTAAGTGGGCAGGAGCTGGGACAGAGCAATTACAGCTCACCCCGTCACGGGGATTCGAACCGCTGACCTTCTGATCAGCAAGCCCAAGAGGCTCAGTGGTTTAGACCACAGCGCCACCCGCTCCAACTGCTCAAGGTACTACATGAGAGAAACAGCAGGAAGTGGCAGAGCACCTCACTTTGCATGTAGAACAGAGGTCCCCAAATTAATTTGGCCTACTGCTCTCTTTTCAGAGAGAAAGAAAATTACTCAGCACCCCCCTGGCTCAGTTCCATCTGCCCCAGGGGTTGGGGCCAGCACCACAGCCCACCTGCCATTGGCCAAATAGGCAGGCAAGCTGTGATCCACTTCCCAGGCCTTGGTGAAGCCAAAAGGGGTTTGCCCATGCCTAGGTATCTCCCTCTTTACTAAATACTGATGTAGAAGCTCCTAGGTCCAATTCCAGCCACCTCCAGATGGATCTCTGGATAGCTGTTGCCCATCAGTGTAGTCAGTACTGTGCTATGGACTTACTTATTATAAGGCAGCTTCCTATGTTCATAAAGGAGAAATGGTCTTAGCAAAGTCACTTAAATAACACAGTTGGGTCCAGGGAGAAAAGTCCTGATAACACTTTACTGACGAAACTGAACAAAACCATGTATAATTTAAGGAGGAATGGTTTTATCTCTCTTAGTTCAAGCCTTGTACACAACAGGGAGACCTTCAGTGAAATGTGCCAGAGAAAAGCTCCTTCAGGACTACTCAGCCAATCGCAGAATGTGTTCTCTCAGTGAGGATTGTGACACTCTGCTTGGTTGCTAAGCAATACTTCCGCTACCACCCTCTTGCTCAGTTGACATACTAATAGTGGACTTAAACCTTAAGTCACACGTTCAATGGCATCTGCTGTTGTACTTCCAAAAGAGAGAGGGTAGAGAGAAATTGCACACAAAGACTAGGAACAAGAGAGCATGTGGCATTGAGGTTTGAGGGGAGGAGAAAGGCAGGGAAATTAAGACAGATAACTGGGGTTGTGGGCCACAGAAACAAAGGCATGGAGGGGGTCAAAGAATTGACAGGATGGTGTGGGGCTAGATTTCATGTACTAATTTTAGACATCCAGCTGTTTGGGCAATTTGAGACTTCAGAGCTCCCTCCCTCCTTATCTGAATGTGTGAGTATATGCATGCACACATACATACACACACACACACACACACACACACACACACACATGTATATGAGTGCATTCCTCTCACACTTTCAGCTGATAATGACATGCAGTTCCAAATGAACTGAGAAAATGGAAATTACTTTCAAAAGGGAAGAAAAGCACATTTGACATTCCTCTTGTTCTAGCATTTGCAAGACTCTGATATAATTACCAGAGCGCGCATGCAGGCAGATGGCAAACTCAGCGGCACCTCGCATGCAGGCAACAGGTCAGAGCTGAAATCTTGACATTTTGCTCAAGATGTTTCAACACACAAGTCTGAGATCGGGTGGTGATTGGGACAGACCTACTCTGATTATTTGCTGGCTTTAAATAATGAGCACATTATAACTCCACTGGTCTACCGGTAACTTGCAAATCATCACTACTTTTCTCACGCAGCAAGAGAAACAGAGTGTAGGGATGTCACAAGGCCCATCCATTTCCTACCGTCCAGTCTCTGTTATACATGTAAAATGGCCATTGGTTCTTTATTTTGGAGATTCATTACCTGCCTTTTGCCCAATGGTAACAACACATCGACCAAAATGTAGCTATCCCTTGAAATGTGAGTTTCTCTGAATTTTGTGATGTAAAAATTGTGTACAGAAAAAAGTGCACAAAAATGCATTGATTGGTGAAAATAACATACAAAGATAGATCGGATTAGAGGAAGTTGCTTGCAAAAATGTTACATTAGACAAAGTCACATGTTGGGAGATATGTAAACTAGAATGCTGAAGAATTTCCACAAGGACTTCTTTAATAATAAAGAAATTTCAAACTGATGCAGAGATGTGGCAAAGTGAAAATTGGGGAAAATTAGAAACTGAGAGAAACCAAAATTGACAGTTCATCTATCCCACCCTGCTATAAGGTATGGAGAAATGGCATCAGCTATAGCTTATGAGAAAGAATTAGGGGGAGATGTGGCAAATGTAAACATTTTGACAAAATGTGTAAAGATGAACTAAATCTTAAATCAAAGGCAAGCTGATAGTGGCAGAAACAGACGGAAATTCACATGCTTTCCTTATTCTTCACTCAATTCTTCAGCTCTTGATGATGAGTGGTGTATGGTTCTTCTCATAAACAGTAAATATGAAAATTGACACATAGGAGCACAAGCTAATGCAATGTCTTTAAAAAGAAAAGAAAAACCTTGCAAAGCATTGCAAATGGAGCCACTTCAAAAATCAAAAACACTGCAATACTATCATACTCTGAGAAAATACAGCAAGTGTTTGGTAAAGGTAATCAGAATTGCAAGTGTGAAAATGAGGCAGCTCTGGCAGAAATTCAAGGTGGCAGAGTTTGATACACAAGTTACACTGGGTCTAAGGGCCATGACTAATCTCATTAAAACTTATAAGGAATAAATTTAATAAAAGCAGGTCCAGAAGATAGATGTTAGTGTCATATTCTCTGGCCTCAATCCCCAACCCATTTCAGAGGGAGAAGGCACCATCCAGAGAGCCAATGTTCCTCACTCTATAATCTTCCAGACCAGAAGATGTGGCTTTACCCAACTCTTCAGATTTGGAGAGCTCCCCGCGATATGATCCTCACTGCCCCCACACCAGAGGAGTCAGAAGCTGCCAAACTTTAAGTAAGACAGTGGTACCTCTGCTTACATACTTAATTCGTTCCGGAGGTCCGTTCTTAACCTGAAACTGTTCTTAACCTGAAACACCACTTTAGCTAATGGGGCCTCCCGCTGCCACCGCACCGCCAGAGCACCATTTCTGTTCTCATCCGGAAGCAAAGTTCTTAACCCGAGGTACTATTTCTGGGTTAGTGGAGTCTGTAACCTGAAGCGTATGTAACCCGAGGTACCACTGTATAGACAGCTTCTCAGCTGGTCCAGAACAACCAGCCTACAGAAGACATCTACTGAAACAACAGCTCTCCTTGAGTGAATTCTAGTCAGTGATCTGTCCAGGGTCCTGATAGAGCATACCTACTTGCTGCGATGCCGCCTAGCCTTTCTTGACTCTGCCATATCAGATGTGAATCCGTTCTACTAGACATGACCCTGCTCTCCCAGGAATTGCTGCTGCTTCAAGGCAGCTTCTGCAGGAGCCTCAAGCAGATCTAGGACAGAACAGACATGCTGAGACAGACTACAAACAGACTAGGATCCTTAGCAGAGAATAATCCATACAAATGAATCCAAGGGTGCAACCTGCAATTCATGTGGCTTTGAGGGCTCCAATGCCAAGAAAAGATAAAGGTCAAAAGGAACTTAATTGTATGAAGGGGGGAAAGTGGTAGTTAAAACAGAAGGATGTACAGAGTGGGTCAATCCAATAATAATTACGGAGAAGCTGCCGGACCCAGGAGATCTGAACAAAGCAAATCTAAGGGAATGTTTAATTTGCTTGCTGGAGAAGAAATTGACCAGTACAAGCAATATGTTTGCTGCAGAAGAAATTAGCAGTGACCCAGGTATTGACAGCTGCTATTTTTACTCCCGGAATGCCCAAGCACAAGATACCCCATAATGATCCCATGTTGGAGAATTCTAGTTGTATAAATGACAGTTGTCAGTGCCACTGGAGACGAGTAAGTCCACCCCCATAAGTGTATAGGATGATTCAACAGAGACCTTGATAGCGTCACATACTGTAGAATCAAAGAATTGTATAATTGGAAGGGACTCCAAGGATCATCTAGTCCAACAACGTACAATGAAGGAATCTTGCCCACAGCCATCCCTGGGTGGGCTTGACAGATGAACTGACCCATTGCACTACCTCAGGGAGATCTTACAAAGCTGATAAGCTGGAGTAACCTATAACCTATAAAAGGACGTGCTAAAGATCTGCCTCCTGGGTTTGTTGTGGGATAGACAAAAAAATTAAAGCATTTTATTGCTATGCAGGCAAATTTCAAAAGTACCAATGCCCTCCCTTTTTACAGGCACGGAGACAAAATTGGCTTTTAGCTATAGCCATGCTAATCCAGAATAACGGCTCTCTACAGATGCCATCTCGGCTTCTGTAACAAGAGAACAGAAGGCAATTCACCATTTGTGTGGTGGAAAGATAAAAATAAAATTTGATCTAAAAGCTCTAAAATAGAGGCCTCCAGCAGTTAGCAGTTCTGCTCTTTATAGATTCAACCAGGTGTTTTCTTTTGCTTTTTGCAAAGATAGGTTTTGAACATGATGGTCTCAGTTTTCCCTAGCTCCCAATTCCCAGAAACATATTGGTTATGATTATGAATAACTAGTGTTATTCATAGAACACTAGTTAAAATGCTTTACAACCTTCCTATTTTTTCTTCACAACAGTCCTGTGAAGTAGGTTCCAGCTATTCTCATTGCATAGATGTGGGAGAGAGGAATGAAGCTAAGAGTTAACAGTTCATTCAAAACCACCCAAAGAGTCTGTAAGTCCAGACCTCTTTCATCCAAAACCAAGACATTCACAGCATAATCCTATGCACACAGCGGGACTTACTTGTGAGTAAACCTAGCATCGCACTGTTAGCTGCTGAGCAATGCTGCTCTATACAAGTCAGAAAATGCAGCCATTTTATCTTCATTAACAATCAGCACTATTCTGTCTGAGATGAAGTGGGAGCAGTATTGACAGAGTAATGTAACAATGCAAAAGCACTTCATAGGCACTTGAAGGCTCAATACATTTCCGAGCTCCTAATTTGGAGGGATGGGGTTAAAGTTAAGTGCACCAGTAGGTTTCCATTCAGATATACATCAATTTTGAAGCCTGCTTATGACAGTTATTCAGGATAGGGCATCTGCTCTTAATCTTCTCTCAGTTTGGTTTCTATTTATGTACACAACAGGAGCTGAGGACGAAAGAAACTGCAGGAGAGTCAACATTGCTGCATAGATACACTGGCGCAACCCATGTAGATTTATAGACTAGAGGAAGGCTAAACCAACATTTCTCGGCAGAAACAAAAGCTCATTACTCTGTAAGGGATATACAGTAGGTGCCTTAGCCAGAGGTCATAAGAATTGCATAGGAGAAATAATTGTAAGGGGAGGAAAGTTTCTGCATTTTAATAAGCTTTGCATAATACTGTGACAAGAACGACAGTGAACAAAATACGCTGCACATAGATCAAGCAACCCACAGGCGCGCATGCAGCATACTGAACAGAACAAGGGTGTTCAGAGAGCACAAAAGCTCCTGATCAAAGCCGAACATCTTCCCATCACAAACGATACCGTTCCTCTGCTAAAAGCCCTTTAACACAACATAACAGGAAGCCAGCACTTTGAACCACTTCCTCCCTGAAAAAGGAACCCTCTGACTTTGAACAAGACAGGAGGAAAAAAGGGCTTCACATATTGGCACAATTAGCATTGTGAATCAAATTTCCTTTCCTGTTCACACTGCTTTTTCCCCCACTTGCTTTTTTTTATGCCACCATCAGTAAAGCCCAGGGAGGATCCATGAACAACTGAAGGAAGGTCACAGGAAATCACTTACAAACAGATCTGAAGCCCAGAATAAACTTTAACAAACAGGCAGTGGTAAATCGTGTGTGCGCAAATATCACATTTGGAGCATGATCCCGACTGTGACGAACTTACACCGATGGAACAGCAGTCAACTGAGTTTCTTCTGGTTTTCTTTCTTCCACACTTAACAAGTGACACTGTGCAACTGCAGTTGGTGGAACCAAGAAACAGTGGCTCATGAGGGTTGATGGTTTGGGAGGCTATTATTTGTTGCTGTTGGCATTGCAGAGGCTTTATAAACACCACCACCACATTTCTCCTGATTGTTCCCGATGGTTTTTTGGGAGAGGAAAATCCATTTCAGATACATCGTCAATGTCATCACCTTTTCCTCCTGCCCACAGCAGAGATTGTTTCCAAGTTGTTTGAGGGAGGGGTGAGCACAAAGCCAGAAACATTATTGCTACCATCTCCTCATAAATCCCTAATTTTGACATAGGGTAGTAGAAGCAGAAAAGAAAGAAACATGCAAATTCAAGACCTTTTAAAATCCCTCAGTAATTGTACTTTATCTTAGGGAGGCAAACATCCTTCTGACAGTACCGTGGTCCCTCTGGTTATGTACTTAATTCATTCTGGAGGTCTATTCTTAACCTGAAACTGTTCTTAACCTGAAGCACCACTTTAGCTAATGGGGCCTCCTGCTGCTGCGCCGCTGCTGCACAATTTCTGTTCTCATCCTGAAGCAAAGTTCTTAACCCGAGGTACTATTTCTGGGTTAGCGGAGTCTGTAACCTGAAGTGTATGTAACCTGAAGCATCTGTAACCCGAGGTACCACTGTATTAAAAAAAAAAAAACAGGGTCCGGTTTGCATTAAAGTTAATTTGTCTTTGTCCCATTTTTTTGGATCTCAGAAAACATACTGAATTCAATATTAAAGCAAAAAATAAATATATCCCCAAACTTATCCATCTGTTCATTGATATTAAATGCTACTTGAGACCTCCATTTCTGAGTGAACAGAATTCGTGCAGCAACCAAGATGACAAAGGGTCTGGAAACCAAGCCTTATGAGGAGCACTTGAAGGAGCTGGTTATGTTTTGGCTGGAAAAGAGGAAACTGAGAGGAGATATGACAGGCATCTTCAAATATCTAAAGGGCTGTCACATGGAAGATGGAGCAAGCTTGTTTTCTCCTGCTCCGGAGGGTAGGACCCAAACCGATGGATTCAAGTTACAAGAAAGGAGATTCTGACTAAACCTCAGGAAGCACTTTCTGTCTGACAGTGGAACGGTTTCCCTTTGGAGGTGGTGGACTCCTTCCTTGGAGGTTTGTAAGCCGAGGCTGGATGATCCTCTGTCATGGATGCTTCAGTTGAGATTCCTGCATTGCAGGCAGTTGAACTTGGTGATGTTTGGGCTCCCTTCCAACTCTACAATGTTATTATTCCATGAACTATCATTTATTAAACTAAGAGTGCAGTCTAAACCCAGGAGGGTTTAACCAAGATCCCCACTGCCTTGCCCCCTCACCCCCCTGGCAGCAATGCTGTTGCCAAGAGCCCAGGCTAGCAAGGGTGACCTTTCTGGCTGCCCTGTGACCTCCAGGATCAAAGGCAGCTTGCTTCTGAATGCCACCATCCCATCTCCTGCTTCTGGTTTTCCATAGTTTGTGTAAACAGGATAATGGATTAAATAGGCCTTTGGTCTAATACTGCAGGTCTCTCCCTCCATTCTTAGCTGTCAATGCACTGTACATCTTCAGGCTGTAGGAGCAGGGATTTCATTTATGAATATCGACTCCCTATACAAGCCCTATACACTTGTACAAAATTACAATGTTAAGGAAAATAATAGGCTAGACCTCTTTCCCCTGGCATGATCATTTTTATGTACAGTGGGGTGTACATAGGAAGGAGGATATTGAAATGCTTAACTTCATACCAACAGTCCATTATTGCTCTTCCCACAACAGCTTCAGATATTGTTTCATTTCTCAGAAACAACTGACTTCTGAACAAAGACAGGACCTCTTTGTAGCAGCCAAGCCTTGAGGTCACTACCAAGCAGCACGTTATCTCCTGAGGATTCATGAACTTCTATGCCCTTCCTCAAAAGAACTGGTATTTTAGCCCCCAAACTCCCTTCTGACGTAGGTTTGGCTGGAAGAGAGTGATTTACCCATTGCTGTCCAGTGAGTTTCAGAACGAAGCCGGACAACGTTTGTGTAAAACATATTCATTCTTCTTTTGCGAACTCAAATGGTTTGCCTGACTGTGCCACAGAGTATCCTAAGGCAAAAACATATTAGCAGATAGCATTAAATTTACAATTATTACCAAGGTAGAAAGAGGGCAAAACACTGCATTTTTATAATGGATTTTCACATCCTTACCTCAGTAGGATTTTTCTGTGAGGTAAGCAGTTTTGAAATATTCAGACAGACTAAGCTTGTTTACTCATGTTCTGGGTCAGCTCTTCAGATGGTGTAAACTGGTTGAGCTCCATTAAAAGCAATTGTTATTGAACCTGTATGAAGAGGAATTTTTGCTCAGTGTCTACTTTTGCTGTACTGTTTGTACATTCTCTCAGTTTTGTTCCTATTGAGTATTCAGTCTTTGATGGACAACCAGCCACCCAAATTAGCATATTTCCCATTGCCAAACGAGGTTGAAGATCATCGAGGCACCTGAATTGCAGATTCCAGTCAGCAATTTTGTTTCCAACAAAGGAGCCCTTCTTGCTATTATGCAAATATCATCTTTCACCAGAAGGCAAATTCTTGCCTCTTAATATTTAAATTCCATCTCCACATCACTGATCTCTAAACAACATCCTTTCTGTGAAATTTTCTTAGGAACTTTGTAGGACTTACAACAACAACAATAATAATAATCTTGGTTTTCCTCTCTCCGACAGAGTGAAACTATTGGCTGTTGTAAAGCAGAGCGTTCCGCTTTCAGGACACAGAAGGGAGGAAAACTCAACTTAAAACTGTTAGAGGAATTACAATGTCAACTGAATCAAACTCCTGTCCTTAGGGAAAGAGCTAAAGCAGGAAGGGAAGAAAGAAACAGACCTGCTATTATCAGAGCTTTGATTCTCTTTCCATCAGAGAAAGAGGCCATGTTGGCAGGATGCAATTAAATGCCTCTACTTTCTGGCAGCGTGCAAATCAGGTGGGAAAAGCTCTTTTTATGGGCCCCACCCATGTGGTTGTTAACACACACTCCCCACTATGGAAAATGGCACTATGGAATGGCACTGTCGGAAAACAACTCCCATATCTCAGCCAGTGTGAGCAATGGGGGCATAGGTAACATTTAATGTTGTCCTGATAATGGCTCAGCACCGCAATACCTCAAGGACCACCTCTTTCCATATGAACCCATCTGGACCCTGAGATCATCTTCTGAGGCCCTTCTTCATGTGCCTCCTCCTTGAGAGGTCCAGAGGGTGGCAACCCAAGAACAGGCCTTCTCTGCAGTGGCTCCCCATCTGTAGAATGCTCTCCCCGCTGTTCTTATTTTGATTTTATATATTGTGATATTTTCTGTGAACTGCCCTGAGACCTCCGGGTATAAGGCAATATATAAATTCAGTGAATGAATGAATGGATGGATGAAATGCAGATTCACTGTTATCTGTTCTTGTCCAATTGAAATATTAAGGACTTGTTTACACTTCCCTTTGTCCTGTGGCTAGAAAGCATGGGGCTGTGTGGTTTCGCTTTGGCCCACCTCTTTATCCCAGAAAACCCACTCTTTAGTGCTAAATTGGAGCAAACATCGATCCTGAGAAAACCCAGTTGACATTTGCACTGCTTCTTCCTGGGGGAAAGCAGATAAGCCCTAACTGCGGCTGCAATCCCAACACATTTACATGGGAGCAAGTCCCGTTGAATTTCAGTGGGGCTTACTTCTGAGTAGATATGTATAGGCTGGCCTCGTTAAAGCAAGCATAGAGAAATATATTGTTGTAATAGGTGAAGAGGTGTTCTCTGGCTTGCACCAAGAACAGTCACCGCTTCTTATGAAAGAACTTTAAACTGTTTATTTTGGTACAAAGATGCAGCTGAGGCCCAGAGTCTCAGTCAGTCAGACATCTTCAAATTTATTCATGTATGTGACTACAGCGGCAAGAATGTTATTTGCCCCAAAATGGAAAGAAATCCCGACAAAAGAAGAATGGATTAAAAAAAAAGGAATATGCAGAAATGGTGAAACTTACCAGATGAATAAGAAATCAAGATAACAAACCTTTTATAAAAGAATGGAAATGGTTTGTTGAATATTTACAAACAAACTGTAAACAGATAAGGATATTGGCAGGATTATTGTAATAACCTGCAGTTTCATAAAAGCATATATTTAAAGTAAGTGAATAAAAGATTAAGTTAAGTTAGAATATGCAGGAACTGTAAAAAATAAATTTAAGGAACTGCAGAGAGAGGAGGGAGGAAGTCGAGTTTTGAAATGTTAGAATGATTGTAAAACTATTGAAATGTAAATAACTAGAAATTATAATTATTTTTTTTAAGTCAGTCATCTTACAAATAAAGAGCGTCCTTCTTGCCACATATTTGAAGGAGGCCTTCAGACTAACTTTTTACTCTCCAACGTACCATTTCCATGCAGCTGGGCACAGAGATGTGATCTTTCATGTTGATTGGTTAATGCAGAAGATTGTGCAAAGTGTTTTTCAAAGGGAAAAACTAATCGTTGGTAATAAAGGGAAACTCCTGCTCAGGTCTTCTCTGCACTGCAACTGGTTCCAAGTCTCTTTCTCCCTCTCTCATTTGAGGGGGGTGTGGCATTCGTTCGGAGCCCCCCCCGGTCGTCTCACGGACTATTGACCTGTAAACCACTAATCTGCTGCCACCAACCAGGTCCTCCCCGGTAAATCACTTAGTCTCAGCCAGGTTCTTAAGTTAACAATGGAGATTGTAGTTTATTGCAAACACAAATAAACTTTAAATGCATTCGAAATGCTGTTACTCTTTACCCTCTTAGTCTTATTTTATTCTGTCTCTAACTCTTCTACCTCCCCTCACACAAGAACCAACTGCACTAACTGTCTCTCTGTTTCCAACTGTCTGCCAACTGTTTTCCCAACTGCCTTCTCCCAACCAACCAACCAACTAACTACCGTATTTTTTGCTCTATAAGACTCGCTTTTTCCCTCCTAAAAAGTAAGGGGAAATGTGTGTGCGTCTTATGGAGCGAATGCAGGCTGCACAGCTATCCCAGACGCCAGAACAGCAAGAGGGATTGCTGCTTTCACTGCGCAGCGATCCCTCTTGCTGTTCTGGCTTCTGAGATTCAGAATATTTTTTTTCTTGTTTTCCTCCACCAAAAACTAAGTGCGTCTTATGGTCTGGTGTGTCTTATGGAGCGAAAAATACGGTAACTAACCAACCCTAGAGCTAAGCCCTTTTAAAAACAGGTGGACCAACAGAAAAGCCAGAGGCGGAGCCTACCTATTAACTCTTTCTCTCCCCCTATACAGACATTTTCAAAAGAACGGGCAAACGCCACATCGGGGGTGGAGGGAGAAAGCTGCGTGCATGGAACAAAAGCTCCAGGCACGATCAAGGCTTGATGAACCTTCCTCAGTCTTTTCCCAAAAGATGATACTGATTTTATCCTTGCCGGGTGGGTTCTGCTTTTTTTAAGACGGGTTTTTTCGCCCACAGAATTCTGTCTCTACTACCTAACTGTCCCACTTCAACTTCCAGAACCATTATGCTCCATAGGTCCCCCGCGAACTGCCAAGGTTTGTTATAATTGTGATCTACCACATGACAAAGCGTGTTCTCCTTCATGGAGAGCACGTGTTGCGGTGGGGGCCGCCAGGACACTCCAAAGTTGTGGGGCGGGCTAATTGTTCATTGGCCACTGATGCGATTGGGGCTTCCCTTGTTGTTGGGAAGAAGTTAATGTTGCCATTTGTTGATTGACAGCCAGAAATGCTAAAACTCCTTGCACGAGGCTAGGGCTTCCTCTTTTCGACAGTGCATCGGATTGATCACAGCGAAAGGAGACGGTTGTATTTTTCTACAAATTACAGTGGTGCCTCGCAAGACGAAAAGAATCCGTTCCCCGAGTCTCTTCGTCTTGCGGTTTTTTCGTCTTGCGAAGCAAGCCCATTAGTGGTTTAGCGGATTAGCGCTATTAGCGGCTTAGCGGGCTTAGCGGATCAGCTGATAAGCGGCTTAGTGGCTTAACGGATCAGCTGTTAAGCGGCTTAGCGGATCAGCTGATAAGCGGCTTAGTGGCTTAACGGATCAGCTGTTAAGCGGCTTAGCGGATCAGCTGATAAGCGGCTTAGTGGCTTAACGGATCAGCTGATAAGCGGCTTAGTGGCTTAACGGATCAGCTGTTAAGCGGCTTAGCGATCAGCTGTTAAGCGGCTTAGCGGATCAGCTGATAAGCGGCTTAGCGGCTTGGGAAAAAGGGGGGGAAAGGGAAAAAACCCCGCAGGAACTCGCAAGACATTTTCGTCTTGCGAAGCAAGCCCATAGGAAATTTGTTTTGCAAAGCACCTCCAAAACGGAAAACCCTTTCGTCTAGCGGGTTTTCCGTCTTGCGAGGCACTCGTCTTGCGGGGCACCACTGTACCTTGTGTCTTTGGCCTGCTTTAATTGCGTTAGCTTATATTTAATTGATATTTTAGTCCTATTAGATTTCCTTCTCTGTGTAATATTTTCTTTTAATTTTACTCTGCTTTCCCACCCACCCCCCTTGGTCTTTAATTCCCCCCTACTCCCCCCTCCCCCCTTTAGCTTACCTTAACGTTGGACCAAGGCCGGTTTTCTTTAATTCATTGCCCCGGCTTCCCCTTTTCTGCCAGTCCCGGGTGAAGGGTGGGCCTGGCTGAGGGCACAGCAGCCTCGGCCTGGCCTTGGGCGGCCGTTTTTTAGGCCTTTTTTCGGCGGCGCCTGGTGCTGCACCGCGGCAGGGGGGTGCCTCCGGCCTTGCCAGGCCCTTATGAGGCCTTGCCGTGAGCTCCCCCCCCCGCCCTATTATTTAAGGGCCAGTTTCGGCCTTGTTAGCCTGGCAGGCCTTCCCTGCACCATTTTTGAGGCCTAGTTTGCCCTCGTAGGGCCTCTAGTGGCCGTTCTGAGGTACTGCAGTGCTTGTTTTTATTGCATTATTTTAGGCTGACAATTGCTGGTGGCCGCTCTGAGCATTGCAGCCTGTGTAATTTAATTGTAAAGGAAATGTTTTAGAGACGAGCCATTGTGGCTTAGTGGCTAGAGTGCAGGACTAGGTCCTGGGAAACAGGGTTCATATCCCTCACTCAGCCATTGTTATAACAAAACAAATCAAAATAAATTTGGGTTTCTTGAGGGGATGCTTCCCTCTAAAAGGGCAAGCAGGGGTACCTGGACAGGCGGTGGGCTGCCTCATCTGTTATCTCATTGGAAACATTTATGTCTGGCCTAGCAGGTGATCCTAGGGCTTTGCTCGAGAATTTGATGGCCTCTGGCAGCAATTTCCGGCCTGAATAGCGTCCCCATGTGGTGCACGAAGCATTGGTTTCACCGGTTCCTCACATTATTTAGTTTTTTGCAGACTATGGCAGGGCCTTTGCAGATGCCTCCAGAGCTTGCCTCTCCTGCAGAGGATGATTTGCTGATGCCCCAGGTGCCTCCTTTTGGAAGAAAGCGTCTTCAGAGGCGGCGATCCAGGAGGGGAGGGCAAAGAAGAACAGAGATGATGCTTACACTTCCTCACAGGTACTTCATCTCTGGGCTTTTATGACGATTCAGACGTCACCTTGGACCTCTATGGGGTCAGGGTGAGGCTGTACCGGGTCTTTAAGGATCATCCTGGTTAGCTCAGCAGGTCAGCACGTGGTGCCAGTAATGCCTAGGTTGCAGGATTGGTCCCTGTATGGGACAGCTGCATGCTCCCCCATCGTTCTAACTGGACAGAAGCCGGGTTGCAGGGGGCCAGGCAGAGGGCCTTCTCGGTGGTGGCACCTGTCCTGTGGAGAGCCCTCCCACCAGATGTCAACTACCAGTCTTTTAGAAGACATTGGAAGGCAGCCCTATTTAGGGAAGCTTTTAATGTCTGATGCATTACTGTATTTTAATATTTTGTTGGAAGCCACCCAAGGGAAGCCCAGTTAGATGGGCGGGGCATATTTTATTTTTTTTTATTATTATTATTATTATTATTATTATTATTATTATTATTATTGAGTGGACTAGAAGATTGTTGGTGTCCCTTCCAACTCTACGATTCTATAAGTAGCAATTCACTAGGATGGGAATATTAGTCGCAGGGCTGCCATCATCCCCACAGCTTGCTGGGATCGCAGGGACGGGGACGTGTGGGCCACTTGCACAGCTCCACATTTCAAATGGAAATTCCCTGAGCAGTAGAACCTGAAACTAGTGTGCAGGAAGCTGGCCCGGCGGCAGCTTTGTTGTTTAGGGGTTCTGGACAGCGTCAGCCCTGTAAATTCACACATCTTAGGTGGCAGCACAAGACGCCCCCTGCCCAAGCGGGGGCTTGGAGCTGGCAAGCAATAGCTCCTTATCTCTGGCCCATATTCCCATAAAATTATCTCCCTTGAAAGCCTGGCTAAAAGGTTATCTAGAGGGGTCAGCGACTTTGTGCTTGTGGGAAGGGTTTTCTCAAGGTTTAGGATTCCTCTGGCTTTTCAGCCAGTGGCTCGGAATACAGCAAATCAAAAGTCAGCTAGAGAGCCACCTGAGGTAGCCAGAAAGAAGGTCAGGTAGCAGCTTGCATTGGGACGTATGGTGGGACCCCTAAGAAAGCCCCATATAATTCCATCTGATCCTTATTTATCGCATCCCTAAGGCACCTCAGTGAATGACGCTATCCTTAAGGAATTGTTCCGTGAAGTTCACGTCTTTGGAGCAGGCGGTTGAGCTTACCACAAAATTGGAAGAGGTGCCTTGTTGGCAATATGCTATATTGAATCGGCTGTTAGGCTGCTGCTGGTTCACCCACGAGATTTTAAGTGGTTGGGCTTTAATTTGGATGGTGCTCCTTATATTGATAAGGCGATGCCGATGGGTTGCGCAATAGACTGTGCAGCACTTGAGTCCTTTAGCGCCTTTCTGGATTGAACAGTGCGAGTCTATACTCATTTAACTGGGGGTACCATTTTTTGGATTATTTTACTGGCTGGTTCTTGTGACACCAGCCTCTGTGTAGGCTTGCTAGACATCCTTTATTCCCTCTGAGGAGCTGGGTGTTTCATAGGCAGTGGATGGGACCCCCTCTTAATATTTGGGGTTAGCTGGATACCGTTGCTCAAACATCTGCTTGCCTGTGGGGAAGCTGTTTGCCTTCAAGGAAGTTATCTTGTTATACTTCTTCTGAAGCAAGTGTTGCTTTGTCAAATCCTATCATTTGCTAGGTCAGTTAAATTAATTTTGCATGCAGATTGGTTGCCCCAGGCCGCCCCTTCCGTTCCCGCTTGGCCAGGCTGCCTGTGGCCCGAGGTCCCCTTACCTTCGTGTACGCTTACCAAGTGAGGTCAAGGCGGATCTCATGCGGTGGTTGCAGTTCCTAAATGGATGCAATAGTAGTTCACCATGGCAGGATACCTTGAACCTGCACAGCGATTTTCAGGTTCATGCTGATGCTGCTGGATCTTTGGCCTTTGGTTTTTATTTCAGGGGCTGTTGGTGTGCAAAGCCATGGCCTCAAGCCTGGTGTGGTGAGGCTATCATGTGACCTAACTTTGCTTGAGTTTTCCCCATTGTAGTAGCAGTTCACATCTGGACCGAGGAGTTCAGTGACCGTAGGATCTGCTTTTGGTCTGATAACCAGGCAGTGGTGAGCATCTTGGCAGAACAGTCCACATGCTCCAGCAGAGTCTCCGCCCCTCCGCTCACGCTTTTGAGCTGCACTGCTTAAGGTTTAATATTGTGCTTGCTGCTCACCTGCTAACAGGATCCTCTAATGATATTGGTGACACTCTATCCCATTTTCAGATGGAGTGCTTCAGATCCTGGGCTCCAGACTCTCAGCTATTGCCGGACTTTTCTGGACCACCTGTTGCACTTTGACAACAATTAGTAATTACAGGGAGTAGCAGATTCCATTCCTCTTCTGCTTTTAGCTCTTATGGGGAGGCCTGGACTGATTTCTTAGGGTTTAGTTGACAGCCCTTGGCCATTCAGAGGAACTTGCCCCCATCCGCTGAGCAGATCCTGCAGGATTTGGCCCACTTGCTGCAGATTGGATGTGCTGTAAACACTATCAGAATTCAGTCCGCTGCAATGTCTGTTATAGTGAAGCTTAATTTTTCAGAGACCCTTGAAAAAAAGTTTGTCGTGCACAGGGCCTTGAACGGTTGGAATAGGCTCCAACTTCATAGGTTGGCGCACCTCTTCCAATTGGGCCGAGTGGCCAGGACGCTCAGGATCCAACCGGCGGCCATTTCCTTTTTCTGCAAAGCCTTTTTTAATAAAGACCCTTGCGCCAAATTTGTGGTGCGCAAGGCTGTGGAAGGCTGGGGTAGCCTGGGCACTCTATCCCCTGTGGTAAGGAAGCCTATAACTTTTGATTTGCTGACCAGCATGCGCTCAAAGTTGAGGAGCATTTGCTGGTTCAAATATGAAGCACGGCGTTTTTCAGCCGCCTTTTCCTTATCCTTTTTTGGCGCCCCGAGGGTAGGTGAGGTGGTATTGGAGTTCACCCGCGGCAGAGAGTCAAGGGGACTGCTTTTGCAGGACGTAACTCTATCCCCTTTGGAGGTGGTCCTGTTTATCCAGAATTTGAAGACAGACCAGTTAGGCAGGGGTGCCACTCTTAGGGTGCCTGCCACTGGAAATAAGGGTCCTTGCCCAGTTAAGGATACCTCCAGGTATTTGGATCTCAGGCCACGGGGGGAGGGTCCATTCCTTATTCATGAGGATGGTGCCCCGTTGACTACGCATCAATTTGCTAAGGTGATGCGGTAAGCGATTGCAGCTTGTGGTTTGAAAGCAGCAGGTTATGCCCCTCATTCTTCCGCAGTGGTGTTGCCACTACAGCAGCTCATTGGGGACTGTCTGTAGAAAGCATTAAGAACATGGGCTGTTGGAAGTCCAATGCATTTTGTGGATATGTGCATAGACATCATTGATCACCCATATGTATATTTGCTTGTCTTCTCTTAGGTGCGGCTGCTGTTCGCATTGTGGGCCACAGCATTGTCTACTGGGCCGGTATCAGAGCAAGGGAGTCTGGACTTGGACTCAGTCTTGGCTTTCCTCAACACGCGCAAGTGTCTTGGCTGTCCAGGTGTAGAATGCTGTGGGCCGAATTGCTTCCCCTTGTTCGGAAGCATGTGATGTTGGAGGGGCCCCCTACAGCTATTGTGCTGCAGTTAGGGGGAAATGATCTGCTTGCCACAGACTGTTGTTCTTTACGTTTTACAGTTCAAAAGGACCTGGCTGAATTGGCAGAGTTTTTGCCGGGTGTGAAAGTTTTTTGGTCCCAGTTGCTGCACCTGGCGTGGCAGTCGCTGTCCAGCCGCCACTGATGGAGCCAGAAAGCGTGTTAATAAGGTGGCAATGAAAGCAGTCATTGCTCATGGTGGTTCTGTGATTGCGCACCCCGATATCACCTTCAAGGCGGCCGTCCTTTTCAGGGACAATGGTGTGCATCTTTCCCCGTTGGGAAATGGCACATGGTTAAATTCTGTTGTGTGGGTTTGAAGGTGGAGCTGCAGTTGTGAGTGGTTGGCGGCGAGCTTGAGGGCTCGGTGGTGGTTAGGCATTGGTTTATGGTTTGGTTGGTTGAGGGGAAGTGGTTGAGTGCCTGCCCTTGGTAGGTTGAGTGCCTGCCCCTCTAATGCTGCTGCTGCAAGGGATTCCGTTAAAGGAATTGGGGGCTAACTATTGCTTGTCCACTCTGTCAAGGGGGCTCGGGCCATAGCAATGAGCTCCTGGTTGCATTTGGGGTGAGGGCAGGTTCCCTGCTCCGCGTAACCCCCAAGTGTATTTCCCTATTCTGACTTTTGCATTGTGCGGAATGTCAGTCTGTCCCCCATGGTGGGGGCAGATAGTCGCAACCAATGCCTAAGCAACCACTCACAAATTTGTATTTCAATAAAGTTGTGGCCAAAATTATGCCAAAAATCTTAAACAAAAATTCTGTGTGATGTGTGAGTTATTGGGGTGGCCCTGGGGACCTCGACACGCAACAAGTGATTTCCCAGCTTTAAAATAAAACCAAAACTGAAATAATACTTCACAGCTATAAAGGACAAGTTTTGCTCTAATTTGCCCTAATCTTTATTGAAAAGAAAGTATCTCCCACACTCAAAAGTCATTTTGCTTGCAAATGTCACAGGCAATGTGTACACATTTTTTAAATGAAGAGATAAACTTTATCCTTGCAGAATCCAAGTTGGACTTGTAGTTGAAGTAGCTCTTCAGATGTTATCTCTGGGCCAGATATTCTGTCAAACAGTGCAATAAGTAAATGGGAATGTTCACCAATTAGGATATATTGTCTGAAACACTTGTCGGCGAATAGTTTTCTGCAGATGTTTGGGTGCTAGAACGTAGTGCTAAAAGCAGCGACGTCTAAGATTCAAGATATTTTTTTCCTGCCTTTTCTTTTTAAAAATTCAGCACAAGTGTATCTGCTGAGTATATGGTCCTGAACATCTGCTATCAGTGGATAATGTCAATGGTTTAATGTTTCTTTGGGGATAATTGAAGTTTATCAAGTGCAATGCAGTTCTGTCAAGTTGGAAGTAACTTTGCCTTTTCTTTCTTAGGGAGGGCAGTTTCGAGGTTGCAAAAAAAAAAATGAAATAAAACACTAGTGCTTTTCTTATATTATTTCATCATCTTCATTTATTATTTCCAGAGCATTTAACATGTACAAAGCACTGTGCAATGGACAAAAACTCACTGTGATCCCTACCTAAAGGCCTGAAATGCAATAAAGATGAAGAGAAGAGAAATGGGGAAGGAATACTAAAAGATTGTGCGGGTGCTAGGTGAAGATGAATAAAAACCAGGCCGAAACCATCAGTAACTATAGAAGAGCACTGCTACTGGAAAGGTAAGAAGCAAATGGTATTTTAAAATGGGAGAGAGGGGAGACAGATGGATGGATGGACAGGTTGGTGTTAAATGAAATAAAATTCCCTTGGGGGGGGGAGTATAGTCAGCATTTCATTCATTATTTCCAGACCCTCCAAGTGTCCCTATTTTCCAGGGAGAGTCCCGGATTTACAGAAGCCATCCTGGTTTCTTATTTGATCCCGGAATGTCCCGATTTTCCTTAGGATGTCCCTATTTTTATCTGAGAAATGTTGGCGGGTATGGAGTTATGCGATGCACGCACGCACCCCAAGCCAAGGAGATAAGTAACTATGCAACCTTTAGAAGACATTTGAAGGCAGCCCTGTATAAGGAAATTTTTTAATTTCTAATGTTTTATTATGTTTTATATATGTTGGAAGCCGCCCAGAGTGGCTGAGGAAACCCAGTCAGATGGATGGGGTATAAATAATAAAATTATTATTATTAATGTTTTGGAATAGGACGTCCCTATTTTAATCAGAGAAATGTTGGGGTGTATGTACCGTATTGGCCCAAATATAAGCCGCACCTTTAAAATTCGGGGGGGGGGGGGGAGAGAGACAATACCCGAAAATAAGCCGCTCCCTTAAAAGTCCGCAAGCACTCACACCCGTTCCATTTTACCATTTCAGCTGTTTCAGCTGTTTCACCATTTCAGCAGCGATATTACAAAAGCCAATTTTTGTAAGGTCACGGATTTAGGCCACACTTTACCTTTTCACGGTCGGAATTTTTTTTGGGGGGAGGGAGGTTTATATTCAGGCCAATACGGTATTTCTGTTGCCTAGAAATCATCAATACTCATTTGCGAAAGCACATGGAATTGTCCATCACAATAAAATAAATGATGCCATTGTTTCATATAGACATGAAAATTATCTAGGACCAAAAAGGGATATCAAGCTATTAAGAATAAATGAAGAAAACCCTCCAACATTTCTCTGATGAGAATAGGGGTGTCCTATTCCGTCATCATCGTCACAATTTTACTATTGACTATTTCCACCTATTTAGAAAAAGTATGTTAATATTTTAATATGTGTGGGATGAACAGAAGTAACCAAAGAGGGCATCATTGGAGGGGCGTGAGAAATCCACATGTAAGTACTAAAAGCAGAAGAAAGATGGCCAATGCTCAAGCTTAGACAGATCAAAGAAACAGAATTTAATCTGATAAAGAGAACAATTTGTTTGTCGTTCCTGATACAACATGTTTTTTTAAAAAACCATGTAACAGATCCGTTCAAATAAGAGCTACGAATTCCAAGATGAGTGTTGGCAGTGTGGACAGCAAAGGATATCAGGTGAACAACAACATATGGATTTGATTCCCTCTCCCCCCCCCCCCTTTTTCTCTAATATTAAAATCTGTATGTTGGCCAAATGGATTTTTGCTAATCATTGTGATGACCTTCTGTTTGGTAATCTACATACTATTTCTATTTGCTTAGATGGCTCGGGTAAGAGAATGCCAGTCACTTAGGATATCTCTATTTGTCTACTCTAATGTTTAACCAGCTGCCAAACTACTTCTGTAGGTGGCATCAGGCATCCCAACTGCGATGCAGCTGGCATGGCAAGGAGAGAGAGCAGCTGGTTGAGAAAGCACAGCAGAGCAACATGAAAGACATGAAAGCACAGGGAATGGGGTGGACTGAATTCCTTGATATATATATTTTTAATAGCTCCTTAAGCTTTACATGTTATTATAGGAAACCTTTCCTTTATTTTCTAACCATTTGATTGATGACTTGTTCTGCCTTCTCCAGATACAGTCAAATATTTTATCTCTCTTTATTCTTGTAGGAAAGAAAATCTGGGAATTGGGGAATAAGCAAGAAAAAGATGCCCATTTAAGAGATGCCAAATTACTCCATCTGTGAGGATGGCAAAGTGCTCTGAGTTTCCACCTCTCAGCCTTACCCTTTTAGTGGAAATCTGTGATTGGCATGACATTGGGGGAAGAAAGTTTCTTGGCACTAACCTTGAGGGCTCTCAACCCCTTTAAAGTGTCCGACTCTGAAATGTTACATCACTCCTTGTCTATTGGATGCAGTCCTATTTATAGTCACTGTTCATCAATCACCTAAATATTTATTATCAGGTGCAAACTGAAAAAATAAATCGGCACAAAGGATATGCTGACTCACCATATACCAGGGGCAGGGAACTTCTCATCATCAACTCCTGGTCATGTTGGCAACGGCTGAATAGAAGGGAAATCCAGCATTATCTGGAGGGCCTATTGGCAGAACCTATTTGGTGTTTCGCAACTTGCTGACTAGTTGCAGGACCTTAGCCAGACCTAGCAGAGTACACGCAGAATCCACGGAAGCAGTTGGCAAATTGGCTGCAGACAGGATAGACGAAGCAGGAACCAGGAACTTGTAGTTAGGTGTTTATTATATACAGTGGACTATTTACAGGAACAGAACACGGATCTTTAGCTTGCTCTTTCTTACACGACTCACAACTCCTACACTGACTGACACACAGTCTGAACCTCTGAACCTCGAACTAACACATTCCAGTTAGTAGGCCATTAATTATCACTCCCTTGAGAGAGCTTGACCAATCAGGGAGCGGTCTCCATGCCTCTGTTATCACCAGACAGACTTACTCCTTCAGATTGCCTTCTGGCTGTCTGCCAAACCTTAATTGACTCTGTGTGAGTAGCTGCACGTACACAGTCTCCCAACAGGGCCAAAGATTAGCCACATCTGCTTTAAATCATATCCTCTGGAACCTCCACTCCCAAGTCTTGCTGAAATTGCCAACAGCATGGAGAAGGTCTACCCCACACTTAGACCCGCCAACAAAATGGCTACTGATGGCCACAGACAGATAATATAACACCAGTCCTGAAAGACCTGCATTGGTCCCAGTACACTTCTGAGCACAATTCAAGGTGTTGGTGCTGACCTTTAAAGACCTAAACGGCCTCGGCCCAGTATACCTGAAGGAGCGTCTCCATACCCATCGTCTAGGCCGGACACTTGAGGTCCAGCTCCGAGGGCCTTCTGGCGGTTCCCTCGCTGAGAGAAGTGAGGTTACAGGGAACCAGGCAGAGGGCCTTCTTGGTGGTGGCATCCACCCATCCAACCCTTCAGATGCCAAGGAAATCAAAAACTATCTGACTTTTAGAAGACACCTGAAGGCAACCCTGTTTAGGGAAGTTTTTAATGTTTGATGTTTTATCATGTTTTTAATATTCTGTTGGGAGTCACCCAGAATGTCTGGGGGAACCCAGCCAGAGGAGCAGGGTATAAATAAATTATTATTATTATTATTATTATTATTATTATTAACCACAACATAGCTTGACTAACAACCTGCATTAATCTTTTATCTGGGACCTAGGTATACATGCACGGAAACTCCTTAAGAAACATTTACTGAAACTATTTCAGCTTCTCTCAGTAATGTTGCAGAGCAAGCAGGACGGACCAGTTTTGCTTTATGATGTTGCTTCGGGCAAAGTGCAGTGGAACCTCCATTCAGGAGTTGAACAATTAATCTGATCATTCAAGTGCCTTCAGTGTTCACCATCTGACTGCATTTCATGGGCAATGCTACCAGGAACATTATCACAACTCATTTTTGGCTTGTTAATGACAGGAGATTTACTCGCCCCATTGCAGTACACACAAATTAAGCTCCAGATCATGTTTCATCGCTAAATAATTCACAACAGTTTAAATATATTTGGTCTTGGGCGCCCTTCAGGACTGAGGACTAAAGTATAACGTGTGTGTGTGTGTGTGTTTAAAAATGCATTATTTCTATAATTAATGCCAGTATTTTGCAGATGAGAAAACCTATTTTAATCTTAACTGTTGCTGTTCTCACATCAGTCTATGTTGTTGGTAGCAATTTTCATAGGTGTTTTCCCCCCCATTATATCACATTTCTATATCTCTTTCTATCCTCCCGCCTGGTACATTGTGTGTTCTTCTCTTTTCAATGCCTCACCGTCAGAAAACAGCTTCATTTATTTATCAGAGAAAATCATTTGAATGCATAGTACGCATCTTTTACTATTTCACTCTCCAGGTGCTCCATCTCTCTGTCTTATTACTGCGCTCTCCTAGATATCGGTTGGGTTTGTCAACAGAGGTGTGTTTTGCCATAGAGATAAAAGCAATTACTTTTAATTGTGATTCACTGCGTGAAAAGGTTAGGGGAGCCTATGGTTCTGTTATCCTTGCATTCATACCAATACCTGTGGCTTGCATTGTGGGCCCACGCTTGCTGAGGAGAAATGAAAATCCTGTCTCCCTTCACTGACAGCACATTGTGTGGTTTGTTAGACATGGCAGAGTGAAGATAATATATTGCTTTTAGAAGACTCCGAGGCCTGCCGTGGCCGTTTGCACCTCATAATTAGCATTTAAATGGCCCGTTTCAAATATTTCAAAGCACATCACATACATTATCTCAGTCATCCTCGCAGCAGTCTTCTAAGGTATGACAGTATTCTTTCCGTCCTCATTTTGCTGAGGTGAGCTTGAAACTGAGAAATAGTGGCTCACCTAAAGCCACCTAATGAGTTTCTTGTCAAGGCATTAAGTCCATTGTCAAGTTTACAACTCACAAGTTGCAGTCCAGTGCTCATTTATCTGTAGTTGGATATATATATATATCCTTCAGGAATCATTTAACACAGTAGCCAGTGTCCAGAGTCAGCAATCTTGAGGCCAGCACTCCTGTTGACCCTCAGAGCATCAAGGCTAGAATCATCTAGATGTGTGGTGTGGTGGTTACTCTGAATCAGAGCATCGATCCATCTAACTCAGTATTGTCTACACAGACTGGCAGGGGCTCTCCAGGGTCTCAAATCCAGCCTTGCCTGTCAATTATTGCAAATGAACCTGGGATTTTCTGAATGCAAGCTATGTGCTACCACTGAACTAGGGACTGTCCCCAAATGACAGCGATGATGTGGAATAAGGGGTACTTTATATTTTAATAACTTTTGTTGTTGCTGCTTTTTTTCAGCCAGAACTCACCAGAACTCAGTTCCAGCACCTCTCAGGTGGGCACCATTGTCATTCTAAGAGAACAAGGAAGGTCTTCATGGTGAGTTCCAGCACCTTTTCCCCCTAGAGAGCCAGTGTGGTGTAGTGGTTAAGAGCAGTAGACTTGTAATCTGGTGAACCGGGTTCGCTTCCCTGCTCCTCCACATGCAGCTGCTGGGTGACCTTGGGCTAGTCACACTTCTCTGAAGTCTCTCAGCCCCACTCACCTCACAGAGTGTTTGTTGTGGGGGAGGAAGGGAAAGGAGAATGTTAGCCGCTTTGAGACTCCTTAGGGTAGTGATAAAGCAGGATATCAAATCCAAACTCCTCCTCCTCCTCCTCCTCCTCTTCTTCTTCTTCTTCTTCTTCTAGATTCATCTAGTCTAAACCCCTGCAATGCAGGAATTTTTCGCCTAAAATGGGGCTCAGACCCACGACTCAAGATTAAGACTCTTGTTCTCTACCAAAGAGCATTTCATGTAAAATGCAAAAATCCACCCGGATGGGCATGCTGGCTCCAAAAAAGAGGACATGTCCAGGAAAACCCAGACATATGGCAACTCTAGCAAGAGAACAGTTACTCAACCAGCAAAGAACATCAAATTCAGTAGGAAGAACCCTACACACTCTCAGTAGACTTTACTACTACTACTACTACTACTACTACTATTAGCATTCATATCTGCCCTTCACCTGAAGGTCTCAGGGTGGAAATATACAAAATCCAAGCCGAAAATTAAGCAATAAGTTTAAAACAATGTAAAACAAAATACAGAGTTCAGTTATGAATGAAATGAAGTAGGAAGCTTCCCAGGATTAGGTTGCACTGAGCATATTTAAATTTGAATTGCATGTTTTAACGTGTGTTTTTAAATGAAGTTGTACGTTTGGTTATTACCGTAAGCCACCACTGGGAGTCTATAGTCCTGGAAGGTGACCTTAGAAATGTCTTACATAAATAAACCTACCCTGCAGTATCCCACAGAGACCAGGCAGTTTGAACAACACGATCCTTCAGAGAGAAGATTTTTTTAAAGAGTCGGCTTCGCGAAGTGAGGCAGAAGGGAAGGGCTGGTTTTCAAAGCACATGGTGGGTTTGGACAGAAGGTGGGATCAGTTTCCCTCCACAGAGCAGAGAGGGTAGACTAAAGGAGAATGCAAAGCTGAATAGGGAACCTAAACTCAGAGGGATCGTGTCTTTGAGTGCCTAGTGCAAAAGTACTGGTAAAGAAAGTGTTGTCTGCAAAATCAAGGTGCAGAATCCTATCATTAAGAAGCACAGGTGGTTTTTAATTCGCTTACTGGCAGGGACAGAGTGTCAGGGTGCTGTCAGCGGCTGTCAACTGGTTGCCCAGGAAGCAAGGAAAAGTTTATCACAGTCCTTTTTTATTTCAATCTTTACAGAGAGAGGCTATAGAACCCAGCCTCTTGGATAATGGCGTTGTCCCGAGGGAATCTCCACCCACCGTCTCTCCTACTTCCTCGTTCATCACTTCTACGGGTGCTGTTACGTGCCCTCTGTCTCTGAGCAATTTGCTCTCCTACTTTCAAGGCTCACCGGGTTCTGGGAGATGGAGGGTCTGGAATGCTTTCGAACGACAATGTGTCAGCTAGCTGCCATCCTGGTTCTGCCTCCTCCACTTCCATTATTTCCCAACTTTCCCCCTCATCTGCCTCTGAGCTGCCACCCCCCTGTTGCAAATCTATACTGTCTTCCTCTTCCTCCTCCCTGGAAGGGTCCGGGTGGTCTCCACCATTCCTCCTCTGCCCAGTCCCTGACACAGTCAAAAAGGGCTTTGCTCTCACAAGGGTTAATGGAAGGCCAAATGGATGATTGAAACCTTTCTCATAGTTGTTTTATTAGTTCGCTTGCTTGCTTTAGAATTCATTCATTACATTGAGTTTATACAACTAGGGATACTTAAAAAACAACAACCAACCCTCAAAGCAGGTTCACAAAACATAAAACAGTGAATGCAACCCTTCCAGCTACAATTGTGTACCACGGGGTCAGTAAAGACTGCCTACCGCCAGCTGGTGGGGAGAGGAAGCAGTGGCAGCTCAAAGTAGCCTCCCAACTGCCAGGGGTTGACTCCGAGTACTGGGGCTCACCCCTGGTTGCAGCCAATCATGGGCAAGCCAGGAGGCACCATTTGTGAGTGGACCAGAGGGGAAGCTTCTTCCCTCTTGTCCACTCTCTGGATATAGCCACCCTGAGCCCAGTCTTGGCTGGAGAGGGCTGGGTATAAAATTATTATTATTATTATTATTATTATTATTATTATTATTAGAGCCAGCCACATCAAGGCCTCAACCTCAGTTGTCACCAGATTCCCCCACCCACCCACCCCTACTCTTTATGCTGGTGGGCTGCCTGAGGGTAAGCCCTGTGGAGGACCTCGCTCCTTTGGTTGCCATATTTGGGGCCAGAGAGGCATTCGCCTTCAGACTGACTGGGCTGGTCGGAGGGTTTTGCCTACCTCATAGCAACTTAATGGCAGTAAGGCACTGGGTTGAATTCTCAGTCTAATCGGATGGGGGTGAGCCTCCCCTCCTCTCTGAGGGATCAGGTTAGCTCCTTAAATGGATCCGGGGGGGGGTCGGGTGCTTCTGTCCAGACAGGGGCTGATGGGCCATAATACTCGCAAAAATTGTGATCGTGGGGGGCAGGGGTATCCCAATTATTATGTCTGTCATAGGGTGATCCTTAACTTTGGTTAACCCTGCCAAATAACAACAACAACAACAACAACAACAATTTATTGAGTTGGTTGAGTCACAATACACACTCAATGCCTGCGCCAAAACCTCCTGACATCTATAATCAATAAAGTTGTATCCTGTTTAAATCCCAATTGGCTGCACTGCATTTATTGCAACTATTACAGTGGTACCTCGGATTACAAATGCTTTAGGTTACAAACGCTTCATGTTACAGACTCCACTAACCCAGAAATAGTACCTCAGGTTAAAAACTTTGCTTCAGGATGAGAACAGAAATTGCATTACAGCGGCAGCGGTAGGCCCCATTAGCTAAAGTGGTACCTCAGGTTAAGAACAGTTTCAGGTTAAGGACGGACCTCCAGAACAAATTAAGTTCTTAACCAGAGATACCACTGTACTGCAGTTCCAACAAAAGCCTGCAAAACAGCTTACAGTGAAATAATTAACGTATAATAAACATAACTGTGGATAGATAAGTTCAGGGGCTGTTCTTTTTCCCCTTTCTCCTGGCCCTTTCATGTTGCCCTTTCCCTGCAAAAGATGCCCAGCGAAATGCCACCTGCTTTGCATCCCAGCCTCTGCCTCAGCCACCCCTTCATCCTCATTTGAAGCTAGAACACATTTAATGTAGCAATATTTAACAAATTGCCCAGACACCCACCCTTCTGCTATTTCCCCCCTGGCACCTGAAAGAAAAGGAGCTGATTCTGTACTTGATTTTGCTGCGCATGTATATGCATTTAGCGCAATTAAATTTCACCTCAGCAAATCTCCATTTGTTGTATGTACTCATCAAGAAGATGGATGTTTCGGTTATGAGGCCAAATTGATTCCATCGCTTTGTATTTAAGTGCAGCAAATGAAAAGTGTTTTTTAAAGCCTATTTATGTTTCCATCGTTCCTATCGCTCTTTATGAGGCACAATAACAAAGGGTATCGTGGCACCTCGCAGAATAACGCATTTACCTCCCATGAGCTTTTGTATGTAAAAACCTACTTTGTCAGATGCATGAAGCAGACAGAGAATGTTAGACACACACACACACAAACAAACAAACAAAAAAACCCAAGCTGCAACAAAGTATTGCAGTGTATCTGAAGGGGGAAGGAATGGGTTTCTGTGCAGTCAGTTTGAAACTGACCCAAAATCCCATTTTTCCTCCTCTAAGGGAGCATTTCTAAAATGCTCTAACTTGAGCTCTTGAGCCAAAACCAGGCTGTATAAACAAGTGCTCAAAGCCCTCTCCCTTATCAGTCCGTGACGGCAATGAGTGGCCTTGTCAGTTCCAGTAGAGCAGGGATGATGCGTCTGGGTCTTATCTTACATCCTGACCACAAAGACGCACAGACCTTGTCAAGTCTGACAAGAGACCTGGGAACGGCACCAGGAGTTGGTGACCTCCTGCCCCAAGATAAGAGTATACGAACAGGAACAACCTTTTATGGTCAAGAGTACAGGAAGAGGAAAACCCTTTTATGGTTAAGAGTTCCGGAGCAGGAACATATGTGATGTCAACCTGCGTGTATAGGCTGACGTGGCTGGATTTCTGGGGAAGGGGGGAGAGGGTGCCTGGAGGATATATACTGCATGAAATTTCTCATTTCTTTGGACTTGCTGTGAACTGACCACGCAAGTGCCTTCTGCTATCCGGAGAGCAGAATAAACTCTTTCTCTGAAACAACCTCAGTGTCATTTGACTTCCTTTCTCCCTCCCGGGAGCAACGCAGACCCCACCAGTCGGTAAAGTCTAATAAGGCTACATATCCACCTTCCTAAAAGGACTTTTCCTGTTCAGTTTTCATGCTATCCGTTCTGTTGAGGCAGAGGATGGCAAATGTGGCAGGATGATCCACATTATATTCTGGGAATTATTCACATTCTTACGTAGCTGCATTGTTTAACACTTTCCGGGCATATTATAAAGTAGTTGTGTTCTGTGTTATGAATCAAGCACTGCTACGAGTTGTTTCTTTTGGTTTTCCAAAGTATTTATTATCGATAATAATAAAAAATGGTGTGATGCGAGCAAATGTTTATTCTGAAAGTGTGGCCCAGAGGAAAAAGAAGTTTGAGAAACACTGCCTTTAAAAAATCACTCCTATCCCCACACCCCAGACATGTACCTTCTGTTTTTCTTTCCCAAATTCCACTCTGTATTCCAATGCTACTAAGCATGCTCAGTCCTTAGTGGAATATGTTGGGAGGGTGGAATTGACCCAGTAACTGTTCTTAAAACTTTTTTTCCCACTTCTGCAAACCATGGTATTCCCCTGAGCATAATAAATAGGGGGAAATTTAAAAGATAACTTTAGAATATTTGTTTTGGAATTGAAAAAGACGGCTAACCTTAATTATGATAAACTTTTTCATTACTTTAATTCTAGAAGAAGAAAAAAAGCTGCATCAGTCCTAAAGTATGATTTATTTATTTTTAGATAATTTTTATTAAAGTTTTAAACAACACAGAAATAAATGAAAGACATACACAATACATGTAACAAAAACACAAAAAACAGAAAAAAACAAAAGCAAAGTTCAACAATAAAAATACAAGAAACATAACAATTTAAAAACAATATCTCTGTTTCATTTCCATTTTTTAGTTGCTTATTTTCTGGACTTCCTCATACCTCCCTCTTTTGTATTCCAATCCAAATTTATTTGTCCAGCAGTTTCTTTTCCACTTTTCAATCCCAATCTTTAATTTAATAAAATATTATAATATATAACTTCAACTTCTTTAAACCTAATCCTTGGTCTTAATATCATATACCATTAAAATTTTTCCTCTTAATATCAAATTTCCATTTCTTTAAACATCTTTAATCTTAATCTTTAATCTTAGTCTATCATTAACTTTAACCTGTACAGCTGGAAACCTCTTGTTTTCAGTCCAACATCACTCTAACATTCCTTAATTTTACAGTGTTTCTGAAGGTAGTCTTTGAATTTCTTCCAATCTTCCTCCATCAACTCTTCTCCCTGGTCACGGATTCTACCAGTCATTTCCGCCATTTCCATATAGTCCATAAGTTTCATCTGCCATTCCTCCAGCGTGGGAAGTTCTTGTGTCTTCCAATACTTTGCGATGAGTATTCTTGCTGCTGTTGTTGCATACATAAAGAAAGTTCTATACTTTTTTAACACCATTTTGGCGACTATGCCCAGGAGAAAGGCCTCTGGTTTCTTAGGGAAGGTATAATTAAATACCTTTTTAATTCATTATATATCATTTCCCAGAAAGCCTTAATCTTTGGACACGTCCACCAAAGGTGAAAAAATGTACCTTCAGTTTCTTTACATTTCCAACATTTGTTATCGGGCAAGTGATAGATTTTCGCAAGCTTGACTGGGGTTATGTACCACCTGTATATCATTTTCATAATATTCTCTCTTAAGGCATTACATGCCGTAAATTTCATACCTGTGGTCCATAACTGTTCCCAGTCAGCAAACATAATGTTATGTCCAACGTCCTGTGCCCATTTAATCATAGCCGATTTTACCGTTTCGTCTTGAGTATTCCATTTCAGCAGCAAGTTATACATTCTTGACAAATTCTTAGTCTTGGGTTCTAACAATTCTGTTTCTAATTTGGATCTTTCCACCTGGAAGCCAATTTTCCTGTCCAATTTAAATACCTCCATTATCTGATAATAATGAAGCCAGTCTCGCACTTTGTTTTTTCTAAAGTATGATTTTTTAAGCTGTTGTGCATATCTTCCTCTCTTAAAAGTTGTTTTGTAAACTTACCATTCAGAAAGCTTATTTGCATGTTTATCTAGAATTTTTTTATAAATTTCAAAAAAAGGGGGGGAAGTCTGTTATGCGGTAAATATTTTATGAAGTTAAGGACTCAATCTCATTGACTTCAGCAAGAGAGTTATGC